GCAGAATGTTAAAGAACTGGCGCGCCAATGTAGCATAGTCAATGTGGCAAGAGGAGTCATCAGCTGTTACGCCACATTAGCTCTGCAATTCTTATTGATTTTTCGCGACATGTGGAGTGAGATTAAATGAATATTTTCGCATTTTTCGATATATACTCAAACATATGATACTACAAATGGCAAAACAAAATATAGGAAAAAAGAAATAATAAATCTAACAATTTAAGAACACACATGATTGACACTACTTCCTCAAACTCAACACAAATTAGCACAAACATCAATCACCACAAAAACGAGAAGAAAGAAAAACCAGCGATCAAACAAACAATCCAAAATTAAGGTCAAAACTCATAAGGCCAGCGAAACCGAATTGGGAAAAAATGCGAAAAATGCGTGAAAAGCTATGCTGATTGCAACACCATCTTGGCTTCCGCTAACCCCATTCCGGCATTCAAGCGTTGTTGTATAGAAGAAAGTAAGTAGGGAAAAGATATTTTGGTTTCTTTGTGTGCGTATCTGAAGCGTAAATTAGCTCATTTTCCGGTTCAACAAACTCACATGTTCAACTCACCGTCGCTGTCGTCATGACAGCCTGCCGATTGCCGACGTGCCAGTCAATGCTTGCTCGGATATGCCAGATAAAAGTTGTGGCAGCAAAGAAAGTTGGCAGTAAGTAGGATGAGCCTGACTTGCCTTGGCGATTTGCCATTATCTGCGTGATTCTAAAATAGCAGCTGTTTGCCAAAAAGCTTAGTTCTCTCACGGTGTTTATTTTTTCTAGGATGTTTCATGATATTTAAAAGGTCTGGCATGACAGTGAATGTCGAACGTAAGCGATTAGTATTTCGAACGAATTTATTGCTGAATACTTATTTTGTAGCATATGCAGAATACTCCACATTTATAGGTTTAAAGATAATTTGTACCCGTAATAGGGTGGAGCGAAAAAAAAATTTATTTTTTTGCTTAGCCTGAAGGTAAAATTAGATTATATAGTAGATTATAAATAAAGAAAATTTTGGAAAAACTAATTTTTTTTTAACATCAAATTTGGAGTGAATTTCGAGTTAAAATTTTTTTTTTGGTTTAAACTCTTTACATTTATATAAAAATTGCCGAATTTGATGGTTTTTGACTCAAAATTTATTTTAACGCTTACGGAAAGCATGTTGTCGTTTAAGACTTTTTTTAAAACGCCAATAATGACCACAAAATTTTATTTTAAGTTCATAACTTTTTATTGGCCAGAAAAAGGACTCTCCACAGCTTCTAGAACACTCATCCAAAATTTAAACTCTTAAAAAAAATTTTAACTCGAAAATGTTTAAAAAAGTTGTTTTTTTTTTCAAAAAAATGTTTTTTTCGCTCCACCCTAATCCGTAACCATATATAATTTCGCGTTTAAACCGGAAATGTGAATATCTTAATGCTCACTCTGCTAACCAAAGAGGAATTCTGTCGACAATTTACGAGAGCAAATAATTTGTATATGAAAGGACTATAAACAAGTTCTTCATCCAATTCTACCCCCAACTTTTTGTATTATCGTCTTAATATTTAAGCCTTTCTTTAGCCTTTTGTTTTGTAACATAAAAGATGGTTAGATAAGTGGAGTTAATCGTGTGTTATCTCGAGCACCCAATTTCTTAATTTCTGCTACGATAGGTAGCGGAACAACTCCATGTGATACTCCGGAATGTAATGCGTTCTCAGAGTGTGGCAATTGAACGTACCCGAAATGTAAGCGTAATTATATTCGGTAAACCCAACAGCATTTTTTAGAATTATTTGGAAAATTTTTTGGTAGGATATCGTGCTTTCTTATTCAAAAACTTACTCAACACTTACTTCGAGTAAATGTCTAGCGAACCGTTCATTAAGTGGAATCTACATACTTCTTGGAATATATATTTTTTTTTTAATCAAATGTCTCTCAGGAAGAATAACGGATCAGATACTTTTGATGCAGTACCTGGCAAGCAAATTTCACTCCTTCGGTAATTGATAGATATGTAGGTACCTTATATATAAAATATGATTAATAGTTCTTTCGTGAGACCCAGAATGTCGCTGAATCCTCGACCTAAATAGAGAAGCCTTTGACTTAACTTCGGTTAGGTTAAATGGTCGATCCCAACAGGATCTCACATAGCCAGTTTATAGACGGTTGTTGTAGTACCTAGAACTGCTATAAAATTGATTATAAAGACCCTCAGAAAGGGCGAAGCGCTTTGAATTGATCACGAATTTGTAGAGGTGGCTAATGTCAGTTTCAGCTATGTCTTCTGGTTCGCCAGACGTTTGAATATCGCACGTCTGTTTAACCTTTGACTTAGTCGTTTATATATTCTAAATAATAGAATAGATTGTGCAGAAATATGCTAATTTATTCAAATGGCAAGTAAATTAGCAAAAACTGGATATCTAGACTGACAAAACTGAGCAAAATTTTTATGATAACCTTAGGAAACGAGATCTTATTTAGTTTTTAGCTAATTTTCGTATTTTACACATCTTCTGTACTTCCGCTCTTTCATGATTAATTTAAAACTTTTATTTCCTTTAAATTTTGTCTTAAAGCAAATAGAATAAATAGTCTTATGAAAATTATCGCAAACAAAATTATATAAAAACAAAAACTTTGTAGCTCATGACAATGAACCTTTTGGGATCGCAGTGAGTACTAAATTTAGTCCAAGCACGTATTTTCACAACAAAATAGCAAAATTCTGTTGCCATTTCATCTTGGCAATCACACGGCTGGGGAGAGGGAGTGATGAGTAAAATGAGAAGCACAGCCTGCCGTGACAAAAATCCAGCCAAAAGAAGATAAAAGTAATGAAAATATTCACTACTTGTACATACATACATATATATAGATAAGTACATAGAGGCGCCGAATTTAGTTAAAGCTTTAGTAAGGCCGCAATATTTGCTTTGGACCTTCATTTTGTATAAATAAATATTTTTTTGGCAGCGAAATTTTTTATCTAAATTTTTATAACACATTAATTAGTCTAATGGCGATCCTAATTTGTTTGAAGTGATTTATTCTGCATTAGTCGAATATAGACCTATTAGAAGTCTTCAAAATTAAATTAAAAAAAAGTTAAAATTTTCCTTCAATATAACAACTGAAAAATGCAATAAATTTATCTCATTTCGCTTAATTTTGAATTGCACTACTTTTTAATTCGAAGAATCTGCACAAATACGCCTGACGCTACTTGTATCTTATCAACCTCTTCAAAATTGCCATTCAAATCCATTGGCTTGACATAATCCAAAGCTGGTAACCCCATGTTGACAGCTTGCTTTGGGGAATTATCAACTCGAAATGGCATCGAACGCAAAGTAAGCAAAATGCTGAATGTTCGCTACTCGCAAAGGACAATACAGGACGTTGGCAATAATTCATGCGGGTTCGTCTTGCACGCACACATACGAACACACTTGTAAGCATACTTACATATTACGCTTTGTGTGCGCAAAGTGTCAGCGTTGCGCTTTTAAGCGTTACAATACAGGAGGTATACAAGTCCACATACTTTTGTAGTTATGTATTTATATTATTTATATGAGAGGGACTTTAAGCTGAAGGAGACAAAGAAAGACGACCCGTATCGTATGCCAATGCGTTTTCAAATTCCTTGACGCTCATCAAGTGATATGAGATGATAAGCCAACGGATTGGTGCATGGATTTAGATTAGGTGAAGGTTGGGGTTGTCTTATAATTTAATATTGTCTATAAATGCATTATAATTCTGTTTTACTATTTTTTATGTTTTATTTTTATTAGGAACTTTACTTTACATGGATACTAGAGAGTTAAACATTACAGAGAATTTAAGATATTAAGAATATACAACCAATCTAATACCCTCATCGGGACATATTACTGCACTAAATTTAACATTGAGGTTATGAGCGCACAGCAATGTGATTAGTTCCGTTTCATTACTGATAAAAATGACTACTTGCATTGTCTCATATCGGTATTTGCATCGAAAGCTCTTTGTGTACTTATGAGGTCGAATTTTATTCTATTTCAGCGGTGATTTGAAGACAGATCTTTTTGAAGCCTTGCTATCACTTTAGATATATACAATGTTTGCAATCCATACTAGAAATTGGCTTCGACATAAATCCTCAGTCTTTGAACAAAGTATATTTTAGAATAAAGACGAGGCTGCCAAATGATATTATTATATTTCTAACAGTTCACTTACTCTGCGCTTAAGACTACACATAGCCAAAGACTGGTTATTCTTATTACTTCATCGAGCTCCGCTGTCCTCACGCGATATTCTCAAATAAATATAGTCAGACTTGAAATGGGTTGGCGCTCTGCTGTCTTGACGTGGCTTACTAACGAACGGGCTGGGCCTGGCGGGAAATCTGTGACAGCTGAACAAACACTAGTAGTTCCCCGATTGCCAGGTCTTTCTAGCCCAAAGTATTTCGCAACCAATCTATAGAACTCCTTTTTCTTAACAAGGTTCATCTAGCCTTAGCTGTAAGGGTAAAAGCTAGTCAGTGCGCAATAAGCATCCATGCGGTGAAGCTAAAAATCCGAGGACAATTGTCGCCATTATTTGGAAAAAAGCGAGGTAGAATCATCTGCATACTTTCTTCCGGACTATCCATCTTTCACAAGCCTACCATCGAAATACCTAATTTTAGTTAGTCAGACAACTACGAAAAGAGAAAAAGCTGACCGCCCCTCTTCTCCAACGAATCCATCCCTTACATGGTATGTAAGCAGAAAAGCGGCAGCCAGGGCCACCCAGCGGTGCTATATGCAGCAAGATATTCAACGGCATAGTTAATATGGAGCGTAGTGCACCACAAATATATACATATGTAAAGAGTACAAGGCAATATTTTCTTTGTTTTAGCTTAGCTTAACGAAAATTGATTTTTGAGATCTTTTGTTTTTACAAATATAAACTCCTAACAACATTTATACAACTTACCTCTCTTCTCTACTTTCAGAACTCTCCCGCCCATAGAGCACTTTGCATACACCTGTCAGGTGATAAATTAACCCGTCAATTACCGCTTAAGTGAAAGTGGCAACAATATAAAATTGCAATCAACGCAAAGCTCTTTATTAGCTGCGCATAAAAGTTAACGGAATATATTTGTCAGCAATATGCAAGAGCCAACAACAACAAACGTATTAGCCAGCAATCAATCAGGCTAAGCGAAAACAGAGTGAAGGAGTAAACACACACACATTTACATACATACATATGTATATGTGTACGCTATGAATGTAGCGAAGTAGTCGCCGTAAAGCAGCAAGAAATTTTCACACCGTCAACTAGCGGAGCGTTAAAAAGCGCAAAGTGTTCGAGCGAAAATGCCGCACCATCATCATGTCGACTACAACCGGAAGTACTCCGCCCAGGAAACGATACAGGTAAGTGTTTGTTTGCATATAAAACCGACTCGTTTCATATTAAGACATTTGTTTAGACATAAACGGTTGTTTCTGTAGCTATGTGTGTGTGAATTAATGCATGAGCTCATATATATTATATATGGTACATGTGGCTGTGTATGTGTGCGAGCACTTGTCCTTGCAAGTTGAAGTGTAAACGCGCGCTTGGCGTGATTGTGTATAATATTTTATTTTCTACTTCCGGGTAGAGGGAAACCAAAACAACAATAACAAGAGCAAGTAGTACTGAAAATGTGAAAAGACTTTAGTTAAGCACAAGGAATAGTTGTAGCTATTATACTCAAGTCTTTTAAAATTATTGTACGCAATTCACTAAAAAAAAAACAACAAATAGAAAAGAAAAGAAATAATAACAACAAAAAGTGTACAAGGTTCTGTAGCCGGCGAGCCTTTCTTAATTAACGCAAATTGATAACTCTTATTCTAATTTGTTTTTTATTTTTTGTATTTTTCTCAAAATAAATGACTCTTCTTAAAGCCAATGACAAGTACCTTTTTTCTTACAACTCGTGGCACGCGACCAAATGCCATTTCATCTAAGTGGTGTGAGAAAGAAGGCAATTTGCCAAAGCAGCTGTTAAATTCATAAGGACTTTAGATAAATTCTTGGTGTAAATGCGGACAAGGGTTTAGCGCTGGGTGTATTAGGGAGGAGAAATGAGAAAATTTAAGTAATAGAGAATAGCAAAATATTACAAAAGGCAACAACTTGTTCAAGAAATGAAATTTGCTAAAAATCCTTTTCTATTTGCGAAAAGCTGATCGAAACAGCAAAGCTTGAGAGACACGCAAATAGCTCACTGCGTGATTTGCTGATTCTATATATCATATTAGTTCAAAGCAAGCGCCTTTTTCATACCAGATATATGCACATAATACTCCATAAACCACTGCGAACTACAAATGTGTATCTTCTCCAATATGACATTGAGAAAAGCCATTTCCAGACCATATTTACATCCACATGCATAGCTCTGCCGCGGTAATATATGAACTCTTCGCTTTCTTATTTCAACATTGTTGTTTCAGTTTTAATAGAAAGAAATCTGCTCTACAATTTCTCTTTTCATATCTCTGATTTATATAGATAAGAAGCATATAGTCTCAATTTGGAGTTAAGCTCATAATAAGCCAAATTGTCTGCTCGACGACACAAAATTTTTTTTTAGTCTCACTCTCGGTTTTCTCGTCCTTATACTTTACGTTCCGCCTAAAAAGAAGTTCCCAACACTCCAGGCATTAGATTATTGGGTATCAAAACAATATTGATACCGTCATTAAATTTTAACCGAATTGTTGAAAGAAAAAGTCAAGTTCAAATCTTTTGGTATCTAGCATTGCTTGCTTTATACCCAAAACATTAACCAAAATGTGTTGAGTCGATCCATAAGAGATTTATCTCTCTGACATTAACATGGCGATTTAACTGTTCTTTATTGTTTTCGAAATTATCATCATTAACAGAAATGGATGGACGACTCGCATGAGGCATCTTATAGATAATGTGCTCAGGCTATTGCTTACTGCCATATTTCAATTCGAGTGACGTTTCTAACTGCTGCTGAATGACGTATGGGTTCTTTGACATTTCAACAATTCGTTACATTAATTAGCGAATGATTGTATGATTACTTCATGGCTCGGGGGCATTTCCTGCCCGGAGTTCTTAGGGGGCCCGGTGTTCTATATGTAATATATATAAATTGATTAATCAAGAGTATAGGATACGCATCCTACATCCTCCCCAGGCTCCAATTTTCGCTCTACGTCCCTGAGTCGAGGATATGATTTTCAACATCTTTAGTGTCAAATACGATTGTTTTGAAAGTAGTTGCTTTTAAGAAGACTCGATTTATAGTCGAGTATGCCGAAAATGGTTGGTTAAGCCTACATACTTACCTTGCAATGCCAAGATATTTCAGGAATTTACTCAATTTCGATATTTCTTTAAATTTCGAAATTAATTACATTTTTATTGGAACATATATTTTTTAACAATTTTGTATTAGAAGTTTATCATAGCAACTTCACTAAGTGAATATGAGAAACATAACTAACGCAAAAACGCGCTCTTTCTTGCTACCGTTCACATTATACTCTAACCATTGTTTTTTTTTTCCTTAACACAACCACTAAACTTTTATGAATAAATTTCGCACTTCCGCATCGCCTTGCAGCAACTCGAGATAAGTAAGCGGAAAGCATGCAAAACAAAAACGCATTTCCTTCTGCATCCCGCGAATGGAAAACTGCTCGCGTTTACATACCACTCTTTCGCGCTCAACGCTCATTTTCAATTCCCCATTGGCGCAATTCGACAGGCTAATGAAACGTTGTTGAGGAATTTTAAATGCTTGTTGTTTGTCACGTCTACCATTTGCCTTGCGCCCACCGCCCAAACTTCGCGCTTTTATCTGGTAATCTTAACCACTTTCTCCCGCGCTTTTGCCTCTCTAATACGCTTCAGCACCTACGCAGAGTGACGCTGCTTGACATTTATTGTGCGGGATATGAAATTTTTATTGCCTTTGATACTGCGAAACTTTCATGCTTAAATTAGATTAGATGAAACTTTGCTATTTGCGAAAGAGTGAAGAAAGCGGTGTGGAAGATTTGTTATTTCTTAATATTCGGTAAAGTTTTAATGTCTTTAATTTGCGCGCAATAAGCAAAAATTTATGTTTACAAGTGCTTTAATTAGTTTGTTTGCATAATTAACTCATCATTTATGGAATGACAATGAACATTTTAGAATGAATATAAATAATGGAAGAGTGGGGCAATGTTGGCAACGTTGGAGATTGGAATTTGTTATGCGGAGTGTATGAGAAATATACTGAGATTATCTATGATTTGCATGTTATTAAGAGGTCTTAATTGAGTCCATTAGCAAATGTAATCTGTACGTATTAGGGTTGTAGGTTGATAATTGACTATATCCACTACCATTGTCTTGAATAATAAACTATGGCAAATTTCGAGAAAAAGTCTTATCAAGTATACAAATTTTCGATATAAGAACTTAATTTTGATCGGTCAGTTTTTATGACAGCTATATGCTATAGTGGTCTGATATAGACGGTTCTGACAAATGGACAGTTTTTTATAGAAAAAAGGACGTGTGTAAAATTTCAGATCGATATTTACAAAACTGAGGGACTATTTCGCGTGTATACAGACGGACAGATAGAGGTGCATGGCTAAATTGACTCAGCTCGTCACACTGATCATATTTTATATAAATTTTATAAGGTCTCCGATATTTCCTTCTACTTTTTATAAGTTTCGTAATATACCTTGATTGTGGTACAAATATGTAAAATAACCTCAATTTTGTTTTGGTTAGAAAAATGTACAAATGTAATAGATATAAGCTCTCTTGTGTGATGCCGCTATGATTTTAAAGAAGGTCATACATGCACGAAGGAGGACTGGGACGGTAAATGTTCCCATTGAAAGTGCAGAAACCTTCATAGTGAGTAACGAAATTCGATCTTCATAGGGTTTTAGACTACATCAAATGCTTTTCTTTTGAACTGAGAAATAGCGTTTTGAAGTTCTCAACCCGAATATTTCAAGAGTGGCACAATTTCTTATAAGCATAACATTTAAATAGTTCTTATTGCGCCATAATATTTGCGCTCAAAATGTTCCAGAAAATTAAGTACGTTTAAATCAAATTTTGAAAACTATAGAAAGTGGGCAAATCTACCAAAATCTCAATCTTAATTCTTTACATAAGACAACTCGCAATACCACTCGCTCTCATTTCCATAATTTGCCATCTCACACTCAAGCAAAAACACGCTCTCTTTACAATGTTGGCATGCGAGTATGCTCTACACAGCATTGTATTTGTTTGTTTTTTTGCGTAAAGCACGTGACTTAAATGTTGGAATTTCAAGCAAATGCTTGAACACATTGTTGTTGCTTTTGCAAAACATTTGTATGCGACTTCCTACAACAAATTCCTGGGCGGCATTGACATTTTTTGGAGACCTTGAGCTCGCCTCACTCAAAACTTAATCATTTTGAGAGTGAGAGTGCTCTCCAATCACCAGTAGCTTGGCGGAGAGTGCGAGAGCAGATGAATGAATTTGTTTTTCAGCTAAAAGGCTTACACAGATGCCGGTTTGCTGTTGTATTCACTCTTTTTGAGCGCACACACATTTCATTGCACTAGAAAATTGGCAGTGTGGTTGTTGTACAAAGTTTTCGTTTCGTTTCACTCCATAAAGCGCCAGACACATTTGCACAACAACAAAAAGTAAAATTTTGAAAAAATCTAAGAATGAAATTTCATCAGCTGGCAGCTGCGCGTCATTTGTGGCAAAATCAGTCGAATTTTTTGTAATTGTACTGGTGTGTGTGTGTAATAGGAGATGCTTTAAAGAGTCAAAGAGTGCAGGTTGTTCGGTTTGTTCGTGGTGGTATTGGTTTTGGGTGCTGTCGTCTGCTTGCTGTTGTTGAAATTAAATTTCGTTGCATACTTCTGGGGGTGCTGTCGGCCAACTCTACCCGTACGCACTCGTAGTTGTAGCTGGCATGAGCAGTGTGTTATGAATGACTGTAATATGAGTGTCAAAATGCTATTACAACAACTAGCTATTGTTGGCGGTGGTGGGGTTTGAAATTCAAGATGAGTAACCCAACTTAGTTACTGGTGGTGTGTGTTTTCCGACTAGGCATAAGCGTACACATTCATCTACTCTTGTTGTTGCTTTGTTGCTTTTACAGTCGTAGTATGTCTGAAAATCTACCACCTTGAAGGCGGTTGTGCATCCCTTCAGCGTTTGGCCTGCATTTGAACCTGACATTGATGTTGGCGGTGATTTTTTTGTGTTTAGCTACACTGTGAGAATTCGTAGGGAGAATGATGAAATATGACTTTTTAAGCTAATACAGGCAGCATCTTCAAAGATAGTAATATTTCAAGGTGGTTTCTAATCTAAGAATGT